TTAAGTTTGACTCCCCGTGAAAAAGGATATTCCTCGGAACTTCTGAACTCTGAATTCTCAGCTATGGCAAGCAGCTTGTCTTCACTTAATTTCTGTTAGACATGTCCTGTTTTACATTATGCAGTCGTCCTCCACCTGCACCAGGGAGGGATGGAGATCACCTACATATGAAAGAAAATACAAATGATGGTGTCTAAGCAAGGTTAATTATTTTTCTCCCACTGTAGCAAAGAGGCAGGCGAGGCAGGTGGCCCCACAGTGTCATCAGGACCCAGCCTCTCCTACCTCCAGCTTCACATATCTCCTGTCTCTCCATTCATTGTCACTGCCTGTTTTACAGGCTGCCTGGAGGCCCACAGACTTGAGCAATGGAATGCAGAAAGGGCCCACAGTGACCCCCTGGCTGGATACAGACCGGCCCCAGTTAGGGCCTATGGATATCTTGAGGCAGGTCCCCTGACCTGCCTCAAGATATCCATAGGCCCTAACTGACCAATGGACTACTCCAACCAGGCACAGTCACTAAAATAAAGGGAGAGTTCCATGTGTCCCGTACCTCCTCACCTTCCCCCTTTTAAAAGCAGCACTAACCCACAAATCCCCAGCAGTCCCCAGGGAGAGCAGACAGCCTCTCCCTTCCTGTCCTGCCAGCCACTCCCTTGCAATGTATTCAGTACACCTCTATCTCCTTTGTTCCGAGTGTGAATCCTTTTACTGACCACACCACCCAGTTGTCCCCCCACATTTGGGGGCCCCTCATCCGACACCCAATCAGAAGAGACACCACATTTAGATACTACACCTTTGATATAAAACTTCCATCAGGCCTGAAATATTTACTTCCTCACCAGCTGCTTGCTTTGAGTATATTACCATCAATGATCTTAAAAAAAAAAACCTAAATCTAATCTTGCCACTTAAAAACAAACACACAAAACCTTCTGGATGGTTCTCTGTTGTTTTAGGATAACATCAAAGATGCTTAGTTTAAATCAGAGTTTTTTGGTAATCTAGTTCCCAACCGCTTTATCAGTCTCATCTCCAGACAGTTCCTTCCAGGACCTTTGCGTCTACACACCCTGAGCTGCTCACTCCTCACCAAGCAAGCTTTGCTCTTTGGTACCACACAGCACTGGGTCTGTTCATCAGTATGTTAATATCTTCATCAATTTATTCACCACCTTTACCCATTCTCAATCAGTAGAGAAGTAGAAATGGAGTCAGCTATGGATTAAAATATCAACTATTTTTGTTTTTTGGAGAGGCGGGTTTTTGTTTATTTATTTATTTATTTATTTTTTCTAGAAAATCTGGCTTGGACATGCAGCCAGAATCAGTTCTTGTCTCACTCCTCATAATCCAAGTCTAGATGCTAGGATTTAAATGAGGAGGAAGTCAGATCTACAAACTGTCTCCCAGCTAACTGTACCCCAGCATATCAGTTGGATTGAATTAGCTGAATAGAACTGAATACTCTAATATTACAGTGACTTAAATCATTAAAAAAAAAAAAAACAGGCATTTCAGAGCTGGCATATAGCTCTCCAGGGTCCTCAAAGACCCAAGCTCTTCAATATTTCTTCTTTATTATGCCCAGCACTTGGCTTCCATCTTTGGGCTTACCACATGACCCAGGGTGGCTACAGAGCACCAGCTATTTCATCTACATCCCAGGCAGCAGGAAAGAGCAGGAAACTGAGATCTGGAGAAGCTGAATGGCTTGGTACACAATAAAAGTAATGGGCACCTGTATTTATTAAAACTTCTTTATGTGTGAAAGTTTGTGTATGTTGTTCTCAGTCCTCATGTCAGTATGTATGGTTATCCCTCATTTTACACTGAGGTGAGTTGGCCACGGCTACAGAGCAGGGAAGTGGCAAAGCTGGGATTTGAACCCATGTCTCTTACTCAGTCCCTGTGCCAGCACAGCGTGGTCTGGACCAAGGTTTTTTTTTTGTTGTTGTTTTTTTTTTTAATTAACATATTATGTATTATTAGCTCCAGGGGTGGACCCAGGTCTTTTGAGCCTACCCTTAACCCAAGAATATTTGAAATTTACCCCCTTTTCAGGCCCTTCTTTGTTATAATACAATAATCATTTAATATTGCTTAATAACACAAGGCACCATTGGTGTAGACAGACACGCTTTTCAAGGGAGGCGTTTCCCCAGTAACAAAACAATTCTGCACATCTGCTCAAGGCTATCCTTCCACTCTTTTGCCCAATCACCAAGAAGTACTTGCAAACAACAGTTGGAGGGAAAATCGAAAAGTTAATCTGTCCAGTTTAAAACATGTTAGAATTTCCCCAGGGAACTGATCGGTCAACGGGCTAATGCCTACCAGAAAAGGATACTGTCCCGAGGATACCACCATTTACCATTTGTCTCCCTTGGCAAGTTGAAGGCTAGTTAAGGCGAGTGAGGCACAGTCTTCCCCTAACTTTTTTCGTATCACAAGAAGTAAGACTTCACTTACTTGATGGGTTGGTTTATTTGGTTGGGAAGGAGAAAATGGGTAGCCTGTGAAGAGGAAGTCAGGAGAAATGGTGTCACATGTAGTCATTCCCCTTTAAAAAGAGACCTGTGTGTTTCCTTAATTCAATACTTTTTTTTTTTAAGATTTTATTTATTTATTTGACAGGCAGAGATCACAAGTAGGCAGAGAGAAGGCAGAGAGGCAGAGAGAGAGGAGGAAGCAGGCTCCCCGCTGAGCAGAGAGCCCGATGCAGGGCTCGATCCCAGGACCCTGGGATCATGACCCGAGCCGAAGGCAGAGGCTTAACCCACTGAGCCACCCAGGCGCCCCTTAATTCAATACTTTTGACAGAAAACAGTACATTGATCACACAAAATTTCTTCTCAAATGGCTAGCCATACTTCTGTCATTACCCAGGAAGAAAATGAGATACCAAACTGTAAGTATTTTCTCTGTGCCAAGAACTCCCAATGCTTGGGATCCTAAAACAGAAGGTTCACAGAAGCTTCTTGCAGCCGTGGCATTCCTCGGCGTTCTTGAGATCAAGTCCTTTTGATCAGAGCATTATCCTTTGGGTGTCCCGTTTCCTCCATGCTCTGTTAGTAAGGATGGCATTGTAGGTTCTAACAAGCGGAGGGAAAGTAAGTAAGACGAAACAGGAATACCGTGGTGACCGTCATCTTATGTGATCCGCTCATTTCATGGTATGTGAAAATGGTGGCCAAGGCCTGTTCGCTGTGTTAACTATTTTGGCTTTTTTGTGGGTCTCTTGTTTGTCTTTTCTTAACAGTTTTTAAACACAGTAGGAAATATGTAATATATTGCAACCCAGTACACACATGTAAACACATACAGACACACACACGTATGCACACACACACGTATTGCAACCTAGTACACACATGTAAACACATACAGACACACACGCGTATGCACACGCACACACACACACACACACACACACACACACACAGTGGGTCACAACCCGAAATGGTGGATGAAGCCGTGTATCATGATTACAGAACACTCTGTGGAGACAGACCTGCTTGTAAGCCCCTGTTCTCCTATTTAAACCTCCCAAAATAATTTTGAAAAACCGCATACCCCATCAATGTCATCTCATTTTTTTCTCCCCAAATTTAAATACTTGCAAAGACTATAATTTCCAGTTGGTTGTTAATATGCCGTAACTATATATTTGTCAAAATCTGGAACCACGGATTTAGTTCAAATTTGTGGAAAATGTCTGTTATACGACCCAGTTGCCAAAGCCATTCCTCCCTGCCTCACCCATCAAGCTAATCAGACTTAACTCCCTGTCAGAAAGGAAGTCAATCTCCATTTTGCAATTCAAATAAACATAATAATGTGCCCACCTCCCACCCAACAACTGTTTTGAATTCTAACTCTGAGATGCAGAGAGACAGGTGGACGATGGAAGGGGAAAGCCTTGCCAGGAGTCTGTGCCTGGTTGAATTAAGGCGCTGCTCCCGGGAGACCTTCTCGCAGGAGCAAGGCTTTCCCAAATTATCTTTGATTTGACAACTGGGGGGGTTTGCATCCCAGGGCTAAGCTCCTTCAAAAGATTTGAGATGGTTAAGAAATAGGTCCTTCATTTGTAAAGTGACAGAAAAACACTGTGAAGGGGGAAGTAAGAAGGGAGAACCAACAGATCTCAGAACGCTGGTCCTTTTCAGTGGGGTTGATTTTGGGAAGATGTGCTTAAGGAACTTGAGGGTCTAAGAACTGATTCTCCTAAGGTTATGACTGGAAACCTCCCACCCCTCGAAAGAGTTTGCAGATACCCCTATATACTTGAACCACTGTTCTAAGCCTTTAGTACGCTCATATGTAAAATGCAAATAATAGTACTACCTTCAAAGACAGTTAGGAAGAATAAATAAGGCGATGCAAATCAAGCACTCAGTGAAGTTTCAGGTGCGTAAGTACCCACTCTGTGATCCCTATTGTTATTGCTGTCACCATTCTTATTCCACCCCTTTTCTGCTAACGATGTCACTTCTCATTGGGTGAGTCATCCTCGGGCCCATCCCTAACATTTGTGGGCCCCAGCTCCACAGAGACAGGCTCTATCCACACCCCTGCAACCAGCAACTTCTTAGCCACTGGTCGGACCAGTGCGTTGGACCTGGAACCCACATCTGGGTGGCAAATTCCACTCTCAAAAGGACAGACTTGGGTAAGAAGCCCTCACGCGTCCTGTAGGTGGACACAGGGTATCTGGGCAAGAAGCTCAGGGTTCTGACTTTCTAGAACTTGCTCCCGACAGGTCCAGTGCGGTGGGCTCTCCCACTTGGGTGTGAAGGTCTTATCTCAGAGCCGTTGTTTTTATCTGCTGACAGAACGTGTGTGAACGTGTTTTGCATGTAAGACTTGAGTATTATCTCGATGGCCTTTCTGAGCCCAAATTCAGTCAACATCATCTGCCTTGAGTGTGCTAATGGAAACCACAAAAAAAGACAAATTACCAAACAGAAGGTGACACCTGATTTTTGTTTCAGGCTCTAGCTTTCAGGCCTCAGGCTACAACTTCAACACTTATGAGTGGAGGGGTCCGAAACAGAGAGGCAGCCTGTCCCCAGTTACTAAGCCGCGAAGCCAGACCTACCCAGACGTGGGGCTGAGTAATGAAGACTGGGACCGGTCCACAGTCAGTGGGTAAGGTTTTCGTCAGCCGCTTCCTGTCCACACTGCAGCCATTAGCCCAGACCTGACTCTCTCCACTTCCGATGGCACCTACTGCTAGTATCGGAAGCATGACAGGAACCACTGTCATCACCCCACCGGCCCCGCGGCAGGGTTCCATTACCTCTGCCTGCCCAACAGGAGCCTGGGCATCACCCCACAGCACGGCAAGAACTCAGTTTCCCTTCATGAAAACAACAGTAGCACACGGAAGATCTGTATCTGTAAACCCTGTCCTCACTCTCTGACTAGTCTCCTCTCTTTTCCTTTAAAAGGTTGCTTCATGTTAATTTACATTAAAAAAAAAATATATCAAGGATCCCATAGTTTGAATTGAGGTGTATTTTAGCATTTTGTTCCTTATCAAAATATATCAAGGAAATTGATAAAAAAATTGATAGCTCTTAGATGATCTACACTGATATTTATATGTGAGAAAACATTTTTCTGTTGAAATTTGGCTTGTCTTTCAGCAGGCAGAGCAGCCCGAAGCTCTTCCCCCAGGGCGCCATGTTGACGTGGTTCATGGGGCAGTGGCCCGGAACACGCAGATTCTGTTAGTGAGACCGTGGTCCTTCCCTTGGTTCTTTGTAGATACTTTGCCTTTACGAAGGCAGCCTCACTTGGAGATTACGGCTGAAGAAAGCCAGATCCAAAAAGGATCTCCCACTTTTTGGGTGTGTGAGAGAGAGAAGAGATTGATTCTGGGATTATGTCTGGAAAGTTCTCACCCCGGACTGTGCTTTCTGATGACAGTTTTACAGGGGCTCCCGACAGTTCAGAGGCTGAGCAAGAGGAGAACTTCTGGTCCCAAGCACTGGAGGATTTGGAAACCTGTGGACAGTCGGGAATTCTGAGAGAACTCGAGGTAGCCTTGGTCCTGCTACTTACTTTTATTGTTTCTACATTCATTTTTTTTTTTTTTTTTGGTCCTTTTGAGTTTGCATTTATCACATCAGTCCATTTAAAAGCTTTAACCCCTTTCCACAGGAGAAAGCTGACAGGCGTGTGTCTTTGAGAAACATGACTCTCTTGGTAGCTACCCTTTATGTTTATATTTTTGCTTGTGAAGCTGCCTTCCCTGCCCCCTTGCCTTCCGGACAGCAATTTGATTTTATTCAGTGCAGCTGGAAGTATTGATTTCCCCATCTCCACCCCCCACCCCGAGCTTACTGACTTGTGGCTTCTGCCATCGCTCCGTGCTAACCTTGACTGTCCCTGTTTGCCACTGAGTCGCTGGGGAGGGAGCTAAGCCCCCCAGCTGTGGCGCATCTCATTCTCTGAGCTGCTTTAGAAAGGTTTCTTTGGCATGTTTTCATTTGTACCTGGTATAGCAATTAATTTGATCGTGAAGAGGAACATAAGAGGAAATTTTATTTTATTTTGTTTTGTTTTGCCCTTAAAGTAGATGACAACGCAGCTGGTGAAAAAGGCCAGTCTGTGTGAAAAGCAGCCAAAATATTACACAGTGCTTTGCTGGTAATTGCAAATCCTGACTCCGTATTAACTTAGTGTGAATTCTAGGAGTTGTGGCGAGATGGAACATAATAGCTGGACTCCTGGTGAGTTCTTTAATCAAAGCCATGAATTTGCTGACGATATTCACTCTTTGGTCTAGGAGGTCCTGGACTGTTTCCTTTTATGTTCTTTTAAATTTTCTGAGCTGTAAAAAATAGAGTGGCAAAAGTCTCATTTTTATTTTGATGTCATTTGAGGTCTCCGAGTCACCATAAGGAATGTGAATGGCATAAGAGGGGGAAATTGCAATTCTAGAACGAATACTCATCTTTATATTATTTTGCTTCTCAATTGCATGTGTGGATATTTGATGTGATTCTATTGTTTGTGAATCCGCAAAGACAATTATGAAGGAAAATATTAGTTTGAATTTATAAATATCATAGTATTACCTGGCATGAACTGCAACTTCAGAGCACAGTTGAAGAGCCTGGAGATGGATACTGCTATAAAACTTAAACTAAGACATTAGCAATTGATTCAGGCAACTTTCAAAACGAGTAAAATGCTTAAGTCAGCTGGCTTATTTAAACTTTTACCACCTCCTGTATGTAGAATGATTAGCAGAAGAGGCCCCAACTGGATAATGAGCTCAATTCACAATTCTTGAACATACCCTTGCTTTTGAAAGCATGTTTGGCTCATATGCCTTCCTCGCTTTGCATTTTGATATTTCTCTTTTAAAGAAGCAGCCATTCTTCTGATAATTTCTTTTACAGCAGGCAAAACAAAGGTGATGTAAAAAGTAACACAGTGAGGTTGGGTTTTCACCCAGAGGTTGAGTTTTCTAATGAAAACGGCATCTGTGAGCATAGAAGTTACATTGCAGTAGCCCAGAAACTATTTCTAACATAGCTTCGGGCAGGCGTGGCCCTTGAAATTATAACTCCAGAAAGGAAGTGGGTTGAATTTATAAGCCAAAAGGAAATTAAAGCCCTCAACAAGGAAGAATGATTGGCAAATCTGTAAATTAGAGTCTTACTTATACTTGTATTGCAAGGACAACTCATTTACTAGTTTAAATGAACTCTGATGGCTTGATTGTAAATGTTACGACGCAAAAAATATTATTGGAGCAGGTTTCCTGCATATGAAATTTACATCCAGTATTAAAAGTTACAGCGTACTCTAACCATCATAAGTGTAGAAGATTAGCTGAGATAAAGAATGATTATAACTGAAATGGAAATGAAAACTATACTCGGCATTCTCCCCATTAGCTAGCAATTATTTAGATTCAACTTTAACACTGAAAAATGTATAGTTTTAACAAAAGAGAAAATTTCAAACTAAGACTTTGGACAAGTTACTTAATCTGTCTTATCAGATATTTATTCTTCTGTAAAATAAGGAGATTATAATGATTAATGATTATATGGCACTTAACACAGAACATAGCACTTAATAATTGTTCAAAAGAAATTATTATTTTTGCCATTTTTATTAATGAGCACTGCCTTAACTGTTTTTTTTGTTTGTTTGTTTAATATAGGGAGAAGGCTTAGCTAAATATCAGATAGAAAGCCCTTGAATATATCCCTCTAAGTTTAATGAATATCAGTTATCCCACTGATAATTTGGGGGAGAGGATTATAGCTATAAATTATGAATTGTGCAAAATGTGAACAGGCAATAGATAATCCTGAAGTGAAAACAAATCTTAGATAATTTAAAAAATAATTATTTTAAGCTTTATTTTAGTTTTTATATTTGTGTTTTAATTTTTATACTCCTTTGTAGTAATTCAGTTGAAGTTCACTTTAAACAAAGCAATCAATCTGTGCTTTGAAACCTTACTTCCATCAGAACTCTTTCTAGTGGCCAAGGCTCAAACCAGTATCTCCCTACCATAATAATGAAGTATTTTACCTCCAACATGTTTCCCACTGGTCCCATGAAAAATGAATATTAAAAAATAGATGTTAACAAAACCGATAATTTGTCTAAGTAGGTAAAAAACCATAGACGGATGGTCACCACTGCAAGAAAATAGTCACTGGGTGCTGTCACTTACAGTGGACAGAGATATGCTTTCGGTGAGTTAAGTGCCATAAAATAAAGGATGTCCCATGACCCCCAACAAAGCCAGTAGTCAAAAGCTTTCCATCTTAAAAAGGGATTTAACTGAAATAAACCATAATATGGATAATCCATTTGGTTTATTTTTTTTAATCTCCTAAAAAGTCAATTTTATATGTTTCAACCAAATACTTGACTGGGAAGCAATCCAGCCTGGTAGCAAGAATAGGGTTCTGGAATCAGAGTGTGAGGGCTGCAGTCCCCGACTGTTGGGCAGCTTGCTCACCTTATCCAGGCATCCCTTTCCATGACTGAGGTGGGGAGGTATGATAACTCTAATTCATATCATAGAGACTCATCACAAGTATTAAACGACCTTCTGTAGACACATATATGTGGTACTGAGCATGTGTAAATGGTCAATGACCAGTAAGGTTTTTCTTACGATTAAAATATTCTTTTTCAAAATTATCAATACAATAACTGGTCTAATCAGGATATTGATAAAATAACTGGTTTTGTTCCTTTTTCGTTGGAGTCGTAGGTATACATACGTGTGTGCCCATACTTGGCTACAAGTCAAAGATCTTATTACTAGTGTGTGTGTAGCCAAACACCAGGTGACTTGGAATTACAAAATCTTAGAGTGATAACAAATGAGAACTCGACCACTTTGCAGTGTTCCCTCCTAATCAGTAACTTTAGATGGTGCCCTTGGCTCATTTACTACCTGGGTGACCTTGGGTAAGTCAGCCTTAGTTTCTGCACCTACAAATTGGGAGTCACAACAGTGGCCATCTCAAAGTTGTTGTGTGGCTTAAATGGGCGAACACAAGGGCTCAACAAATGACACTCTACTACTGTCAGCATCAGCATGAATGTAAACCACCAGTTCACAGTCTAGCCAGCAACACAGATGCAGAGTTTGTTTTCTGGTCCTTTGACCTCAGACGGACTCACCAGTGCTGGTTCAACCATCCTACCAAGGAGGGTAGAGCTGCCTTACAGACATGTTTTCAGAATTTTAGCATTTTCTAACCATGAGAAATGAACATCCTCAACATGACATTAATTTCAGATGCTTTTTTAGATTCACTTCCAAGATTCAGTCCTATTTGGGGCCTTATCTTGCCTTTCCTCGCATATGAACTTATTTGACCTGAGCCAAAAGCAGGCACTTAACTGACTGAGCCACCCAGTTGTCTCACACATGAACATATTTGAAACTGAACAAATCTCCCAGTTCACTGGTAAAATCCAATCCAAGTTTCCCAGCTTTTGAGCAAAGGGTTGAATCCAGCAGCACAATGAGTGATTACTCTTTGGCCTTTGAGGATCTCCCACAAAGACTATTTCTAAAAACTGTGGACCTACACCAAATGGTGTGGAGACCTAGCTGGTTCTACAAGCTTCTGAGACAGGCCACGTAGCCAAAGGAAAGACCCTGTACCAGTGGGCGGCCGGCCTCATTGACTGTAGCCTCTCTCAATAGTCCTGTTTTAGCCCATTGTTACCTCTAGGTGGGGCTAGAGGCAGCATTGCCAAAGAGACTGCCTGGTTCCATTGAAAAGTCCTTGGTCCATTTCTGTAAGATATATTGAAGTTGCTTCATGAATCCCATCTTTAGAGCCCACTCAGTGGAAAGTTAATGCTTGAAATGTAGTTTGCAGTAAGCAAATGTTAGAGCTTTTCAATTTGCCTCAAAACTGCCAGGGGTGGTATTTGATTAAATAAACCCAGTGGCTTAAGTACTTAAATTGGATTTGAGATGTGCATTATAAAAGTCACTTGGAAAGCATGTTCCCAGACTTTCATAGGTCAGTTAGTACGTCCATTCTCCGGCCTTTGGTTGTGCCCCGAAGAGTCTGTATTTTGACTGGGCAGAAGGAGAAATGTGCTTAGTGTCAAACAATCAAACCCTTTCCTCAGTCCTTGGCTTAATTGTTTCTGAAAATTGTCAATGCCACAGGCGACAATCATGTCGGGGAGCACGATGAGTCTGAATCATGAGGCCCCATCACCTCGCAGTCAGCTGGGGCGACAGGCCAGCTTCCAGGAACGGAGCAGCTCACGGCCACACTATAGCCAAACAACTCGGAGCAACACCCTGCCCACAGATGTGGGCAGAAAGTCTGTCCCCCTGAGAAAAATGAAACAAGAAATCAAGGAGATCATGTCCCCGACTCCTGTGGAGCTGCACAAGGTCAGGATGCTGTCTTCCCTTTCCTTCATCCCTTTTAGTGGCCATTCTGCCCTGTGTGAGTGCCCGGGTGCAAGCATGGGAATGACGTTCTACCAAGGGCTCGGCCAGGGACAGAAGCCAGAGCCTAAAGGCCGATCATCGGAGACTCTGTTCTCCAAATGTGATCTTCAGGAGGTTGTCCTGTAGAGCAGGGACAATTTGCTTTGGAGCAGTGAATTTACTAAAAGTTGATTTATGGCCAGACTCTTCTTTGAAAAGTGGGAGGCTTCAGGATCTTATGGAGTTTAGATGAACTGGTTTGTCATTCCAAACTCTTTGGAAGTGGGAGAAGGATTTTCTCAGTGCCCTACACTTGTAGCTTCATTGAAAATGAGTTTCGGGTTGAATGTAGGAGTGCTTACTCTTTAATCTGCCGCGTTTAGACAAGGCAGATGTAAGAATCCTGGGGCGAGGAAAGCAGTGGTCAGGGATGTCTCTGGTTTTTTTCCATGAAATTTATGTTTTATTTTTAGTTAATACATAAGGATGTATAGACAGCCATAATCTCACCCCACTTTTCTTGAGAACCAAGACCCTCTCTGTAGTTGATACTCTGTTAACAAGTAATCAGTTATGTCTTACACAGAAAAGCAAGTAAATGTTAGATTGAGAGGAGGTAACAGGCCAGCCCCTCCTTTTTTTCTTTGAAGTCTTCAATTTACCCAGGCACCCTATAAAAGATACTTTATATCTTCTTAAAGCTATTTATTTTGCAGCTGACAAAGGATGTAGTAAAAGAGAGACTAGAACAGGGAGTTCTGAACCCTGTGTTCCAATCCTGGGTTGATTCTTTTACCACTCATTCGCTCATTTCCTACATATTCTGCACATTCAGTCACTGACCCAGTGTATTGTGCACCCCCGAGGGGCCCAGAGTCTAATGCGGAGACAGTCTGGGAAATAGTAGGAAGAGGGTGAGGTAGGTACAATGAGAGAGGCAAGACTCAGCTGCCTTGGGGGACAGAGGGTAGACCCTCACCCACTACAGAAGAAACAGGAAAGGCTTCTTAGGAGTATGTGTGGACCCTGCAGGAACGTGGAGGACGGGAGGGCATTCCAAGCCCAGACAGACGCTTGTGCAAAGGGATGGTGGCGCTTGTGCAAAGGGATGGTGGCATGTTGAGGGAATGCAAACATCCCAAAGTGACCAAAGCCTGGAATTTAGAGCCTTGTGCATTCAGGGACTCTACAGAATTACAGAAAAACAAAGAAGTGTCAGATATTTTAGGGTGGGGACGCAGGTGTAGACCCATGTCACAGGTTACCTAGTTTATCCAGTTTCCCTGCATTGAGGCATCTGTTTGGAACACACCAGCCACCACTGCCTGTCAAATGACCTAAGATGCTAATTGACAAAGCCCACGAGGAGGCTGTAAGGTCCTCTCTGGGGGTTACGTAGCAGAAGGTATCCAGTCCGTGTGAGTTCAGCCATACCAGGAAGAAGTGAGCCTCACCCGATTCCCTCAGGTGTCTAAGAAAACTGCCCACCCTTCTTCTCCAATTCTCTTGCTCAGGCCCCTCCTTCAGCCCCAAAGGGAAAGGACACCAGCATGTATTGAGTTCCTATTATACGCTATTTTCTTTATATGTTTAGCCCTTCTAGCAGTTATGTATTATCTCCATCTATAAGATCAGGAAATAGCAGGCATAAAATAGAGTCATTTATCCTTCTAGAGTGAGGCACTTGCCTCAAAGGGAGAATATTGATAGCCACCAGTACAAAGACCCGTCAGCCCATCCCTCCTGCACTGAAAGCATTTAGCAAAAATAATGATGAGAAATTGGGTGTGCAAGTCGTTAGAGCTTAGGTTTTTAAAAAAGTGCCTGTGCTGAAAATCGATGTCCTGTTTTTAAGAAGGCCTCCTCCACATCCCAACACGATGGGTGGCAGCGTGTGGACTGGGGGAACATTGTGTGGCAGAGTATGACCAGGAGGCCACCGGCTCACACACACAGATGGGCCAAGACCTAATCCGCGGGATGCTTCTTTTTGCCTTCACTTCAAACAGTCCCTTCAGTAGGGACAATAAGCGTGTCTCCCATGTAGCTTCGCTTTCCTTCTGAATCAGTCCCTAACAAAAGAGGACTCTCAAAAGGAGATGGTGTCCTGGGCATCCTAAGGCACAAGGAAAAAAAGATCTAGGGAAGTGAAGGCAGCGGGGGAGTACGAGCTGGCAACATGGAATTCTGGGAGTAGCTGTCTGCTCACGTCCTGGGTATATTTTCCTTTTGTAAGTGATTCAGTTACTCTGTCGGGCCATCCACGTGTTGGCTGTTAAGTACATTCTCCAGTGCTGAAGTGTGTGAGAGAAGTCACTCGGACCACTGGTTGTGCTTGTACTCTGCACCTGGGTGACTTTTGAACACAGCGGGATTGCCTGACGCCATGAAAAAGGGCAATGACTTGTGGATGGACTTGAACTATCCTCCCAGTGGGGTGCTCCTAGCCTAGAGTTTGTTTTTTAGCCTATTTTTCCTTTGTAAAAATGAGGGAAAGGCACTCTGGTGGGTGGTGGCATGGGGAAGGGCCAGGGAATTAGAAAACGTTCCTTCTTCAAGTTGAAGATAATCCCGAGCTGGGTTTACAGCTTGATGGGTGGAATGAGGGCTGGTTTTCAGTTCCCTGAGCCCCCTTTGTGAACATTTCCAAATGGATCAGGTAGAGGAATTCCCAAGGGACTGCAGAGACCAAGGCCGAGGGGCCGGATGAGGTTGACGGTACACCAGGCTGGGTGTCATGAGAAATATGGCTGTTGGCTGCTTGGTGAAACCTGTCTCCTCAAGGACAGGTTGCAGATCTGTTCCTGTCTGAGCCGGCACCTCCAAACTCATACTGTGTTTCATGAGAAGCTGGATCAAGAAGATGTGTATGAATGGGCAAGTAGCCATACTCATTCCTGGGGAGAAAAAAAAACAAAAAGCAAAGGCAGTTCCAACTCTGGCTGACGGGTTACTAACACCATCTTCAAACATGAAGAACACAGTGTGGGCTTCTCTTCCACTTTCTTGAGTTTCAACTTCTTTCCCTGGTTTACCCGTGACTTTCTGCTCAGGCCTCCATTCCTTTTCTTCCTTCAGACCTTCAGAAAGTCCAAAGCTTGGGTCAGGGTCTCTACGGTTTTCTTTCATTTCATGTCATCTGCTGTATCTGAGGCTCTTCCAGGTCTGGGCGAGTGTCTGCATTCTCTCCTGGACCCCAAAAGCTAGTTGTCCTCCATGACATTGGAACCAACGTGGAAATACAGCCCCACTTCCTTTTTCGGCTGTGTGGATGGGGAAGGAAGTTAGAGCTGGCAAGATGATATGATATTTAGTAGGGCGGTGGGGGGACGGGGGCGGAGGGGGTCACAGGGAACTGATACTCGGGTTCCCTCAGTATTTGTTGGCTGAGATGATCTTACCTCCCAATTCAGGACATGCAAACATCCACATTCATATATGAATGCATCCAGAACTTGATTGCACGGTTTATGCCAAACATTTTCTATTTTTTCTTTGTTCTTTTGTCAAATGCTATCATATTAAGCTGATTTCAGAATTTATTAATGGGTCTTAATCAAAAGTTGGCAGACTACTCCCTTAGACAGTAGTTTGCAATTAAAAACCTCTGATGATCTCCCCCATGATTACATGGCATGCTTATTAAAATTCAGTTTTCTAAACCCCACCCAGACTTGCCTGCTCAGCATTTTCTGGGACTGCAGTGGATTCTTTTGTGCCCTAGGGACTGAGGATCACGCCTTTAGGTTTTGCTAAAGAAGGTGATGATTCTGTTTCAGTGAAATCATGGGCAGCAGCTGGGTAGCAGGGGAAAAAGGAAATGAGGTTGTATCTTTGGCTCTGCAGCTTCTGGGTTTTATCTTCAAAATGAATTCTGGTTTGTACTATAGCTTATCCCAGCCAGATTCTTTTTCTTTACAGATAAGGAGCCTGTGATCTTGGCTATAGTTCATTGATAACCCTGCTTTCCCTTCTGATGCTTAAATATCCTTTATGTCCACTTAATCTATTTCTGAGATGAGGTCTCGCCTTACTTCTTTGCATACTTTGAAGCAAAAAAGATTTTTCTTCTGTAGAGTAGAAAGTTCCCCACATTCAGAACATTTGGCCTTTTTTTTTTTTTTTTTTTTGGTCATGTGAACATTTCCTTTTGCCCTGTCATTTGTGTTTTTAAATAAAATCCTTTTCCGTAACTGTATATAGTTATTTGTATTTACATTTTACAGAAAGGTTTTTAAAAATTCTTTTTCAGCATCTACATTTATTTATGGCTGCTGGTGGCACGACCCAGGGACATTGAAATCACCTGCTAGGACCCCCTTTATTTCTTATAGCTGCTTTGGCTGCTGTCAACTTTTCCCCTAGCCAAGTTCAACTTGCATTTTCAATGTATCTGAATGCTTTGAGAGGGGAGCTTTGTTTTTCTTGATATGAGAAAGTTCTTCTTGTCCTTGTAAGGAGTGTCCCTTGCAGTGCCTGATGGCAGCTTCTTCTGCAGTATTCTCCCTCAGTCGAGAAGAGAGGCTTAGCCACAGGAGGAAATATGAAATGGCAGAACGTATCTTATTCAGACACAAGTGTCTTTCTTCACCAGATATTTGGAGTTGGTACTCTAGATCAGATGAGTCCTCATGGCAGGCCTCGACCTTCTCCAAATAGCTTGTGTCGAATTGTCTTACTGTGGAAGTCACGAGAAGCTAAAAATGACACACTGGATAGACGCACCTTCTGCTTTTGCCTACCTTTTTTGCTAGCTCCAGTTTCTCTTCCTCCAGGTGAAGAGGGGTAAATTAGAAAAGAACACAGACTTTGTCGTCAGGCAGGCCGAGGTTTGGTCACAGTCTGACAGGCATCAGCCATGTCCCTTCTCGGAACCTTGGTTTTCTCCTTTAGCAAAGGAGGGGGCAGGATCCTGCTCAGGTGAGGAGCCTTCACAAATAGCATTGCCCCTGGGGAAGTCG